CCTCTTGCTCCTCTAAGCCAACAGCACACCTGCTCCATAGCAATCCCACCACCTGCACCTCTGATTTCAGGAAACCAAACAGAGGAAGTCTCAGCCACCTCTAAGCTTTCCACTTAATGAAGAAACAAATCCAAAGCTGCAGTGCTAACCCCAAAGTAAACACCACAGCAGCTCTGCAGTCCGAACAGCACTTCTTCCAGTGTACTTCTTCCAAGCCCATGTGCTGTGCAGTCACTGTCCCTCCTGCAGTCTGTTTTGCCCCCCAGCTCATTCTGGTCACTCCCGCTGGAGCAGAACACACCACGATGCTGAGCAGGACGCAGGGCTTAGGAAAGAGCCCTGCTGGCTTTGGTTTCAACTGCACATAGAATGTGATGGCAACACTCGTGGCCATAAGGAACCACTTGCCTCTTGTCAAAGTGAGGCCCTTTAGTTGCAGCCTCAGTAAGAAGGAGCTGAGATGTATTTCAGAGCGCTTTGTTTATATTGGCAGTGCTGCTGTAAAACCATGTGTTTCAGTACTACAGATGGAGCCTGATGCTTCCTTGACCATTCACCTTCTTATCACTGCCCCACAAGGAGCCCCACACATGGCCAGCTGCTCACCAGCAGCCACACAGGTCCCTCAGTCTGAGACACAGCACTGCAGACCTGAGGAACTCTCAGAACTCCATTCCCAGCTCCCGAACAGGCAGCCTGACTCAGTTCAGCTATATTACAAAGCCACGCTCTGGGACTGCAAAACGTTAGTAGACAAAATGAGCAGGAAATGATATTGTAAACTACACAATAAAAAATAAAAAAATCACGTTTATGTATCCAAACATTATAAGGCAAGCGATTTCTTCCCTGCTACGTTGCTGTAAAAGCACTGCTGCAGTGCGTGAGTCAACCGTGCCAAACTGCAGGTAACAAACAGATCAGCAAGCACCAAAAGCTCCGTGCTGGGATCACCCCCAGGGCTGCAAGGCCCTGCATGTCCCCCCTCTCCCAGATCTACCCCTCCTTGAAGCAATTGCATATAACTCACTTTTCAAAGCTTAATCGTGTTACAGGAAGAAAATCGGTGTGTGTTAGAAACTCCAAACCATCCCTTGGATGTGCAAGAGTAAATTTCTAGAGAACCAGCAGACATGTTGCAATTTTACAGCTCAACCGCGCGGAGTGAATGAGGTGTGGGGAGAGGATGGCAGCAAAGGAGAGAAAAAAAATCACACGGCCATACCTTTGAAGTGCAAACATATTACATAACAAATTAAACTCCTGAGCGCTCAGCAAACCTACAGCTTCCTCTTCATAACAGCGCCTCGGAAGACCTTTGATTAACAGCAAGTGCTAAGCTGGCTCTGTCAGCTGTCTGGAAATCCACACTCAGTGTACACCAAAAGGCTGTCTTAAACACATTGCTCTGAGAGGCTGCATTGAATTAATAAAACTGCAGCAACAGGATTAATCCACAAGCCAAATACCCCCTTCGCACCGTTCCACAACTACACATTTTCCAAGTAACTCAAAATGATATGAATTATCTGGGTTATTAGTAAACAGATTTTTAAGGAGTCTGTATGCGTGGCAGCTTTGCTGTTATTCAGAGAACACTGTCACATGGGAGAGCCCTTTGCATCCTGTGACATCTCGGCAAGCTGATCTGCACTTACAGTAATTATTTCCAGGAATATCAGAGAAGTCATAACTCCATTCTGCCTCCATTCAGAGAACGGCAGTAACACTCTGTAACACTTACATTTTAATGTCTCAGTGCCAAAGCCTTTTTTCTCATGGATGTGGGCATGGGGGGACCTGTGCTCAGGGCAGGGCTCTGCCACGTGTCCCTGGACAAGTCAGAAAGGAGCTTTTGGTGTCTGCTAGGACGGCCAGTGCAAGCTCAGCCAGCAGCCACTGCCTGCTAGCTGGGTACCATGCAAGGCTGATGCCTTTACTGTCAGTCCAGAATAGTGATACTCATCAAATGGAAGCAACTGAGCATGGTAACTGAGCTCTCCTCATTTCAGTAGCTTCTTTTGGCCAAGAAGTTTCATCTATCCACACAAAAAATCAACTTGTTTTCAGCTACTTCTGTTCTACGCTACTAGAAAACCACTGACTTCAATTACATTACTGTCCAATCACCAGAATAATTGATTTTGGCTAACAGACTTTATTAGCTGCTCAGCTTCCCTCTCAAGTCAATAAGCATTTGCTGATCTCACCACGATGAGGTTACTGCCTCAGCATCCACGCAGTCTGCACACCTCCAAAGATGACTCCAACTCTCAAAAAGAAATAGTCCACATATTCAGCGTGTTCCACTTGTTGCAGAAAACTGAATGTAGAGCTTAAACAGTCTGGCGTAACGAAACATCAGCTGGCACTACCCTGAAATACACATTCACACAATCCTCTGCCAGACCAGGGTTTGCCGAACGCGTTGCTCAGAGCTCCCAGACACTCAGCTGTGAGTGCGACCCAGTGAGAGGGAACCAGATGGCAAAAGACTCCTGGCATCTTTCAGTGTTATGTGAAGTGTTTCTTCAGCTCGTGCTTACACCACCCAGCCACACTGCTTTGGAAACAGCCCTGCACATCTCTCTGCAGATCCTTCCACAGACAGACCCTGCAACAGGAAAGCAAGGCCCAAGCCTGTTATTTTTAAGCACTGAACCAAAATGTCTCACGCTCAGAGTTTCTGTTGTCAGGAGAAATAAAGAACCACCTCTGAAGGATGAATTTCATCCTTGGGATCTGTTACCTCAGAGTGTTCAATTGCTCATTAGAGACCATGGAGGAGTTAGATGCTTACAGTCAGATAAGGAGAATAGAGACCAGAATGCTAACTGAATTGCTGGGAAGAGTGAGAAGTTTCACAGCTGTTTCTATGGGCAAGCAGGGCTCAACGGCCGTGTTGGTAACACGCGATAGCTCAAGCACCACAGAGAGGTGATTTTGCTCATGGCCAAGTTAAATAGCCTAGCCATTTCTTAATCCAACTGGAACATGTGCCTGGTAGGCCAGGGGTTTGCTTCTATTCCATGTTCATAAGGGCTGGGCTGAAGGCCGGCGCTGTGCCTGCAGGCACTGCTAAGGACCAAGTCCTGGACATGTGGGATGGCCACAGCTCTGCACTCCACAGCAACAGCTGGAAAACAGCCAGAACCACTTAGAGCTGGTGCTAATAAGCAGTAACAACAACAGAATATTGCAGCATGGAAGCAAACTTGCTAAGAGTGCTTCCACAGCTGGAGCACTTTGCCTGAACGGCTGCTTGGGCACAAACACTGCTCTGCAGGGCTGGGCTCAGTGACTGCAAGCACAAGGATTGCTGTGTGGGGGATCAGCAGCAGCAGTGTGGTGTTAAAAGAGAAAAGAAAAGCATCACATTATTAGAGGTGAAGGCCTCTGAAGTAAAACAGTAAAAAAAAAGTAGTAAATAGAAATTCTAAAATTCATTACTTTGAGTGAGCAGGTATGAGTCCCGTTACTTGAACAGAAAGTTGCTGCCTTGCTGCAATGCTTTTCCTTAGGACAGTTTTCAGAGAGCTGTAGATCTTTCAGGAATAATAAATTTCAGCACGTTGCCTGCACACACATCCAGAATAAAGTAAGAAGTAGAAAGGGCATAGAAAGATAAAGACAGAAAGGCTGAATGCCTGAGCCACGAGGTGTGGGGAAGCAGGCACTGAGAATGTATAGACTGCAAACTTTGGAGAGATTGAGAAGGTAGAGACATGGAAAGCTGAGTGTATCGGGTTGGCACAGCTTAAAGGACAGAGATGTGACCATTGCTAAGAGTCAGAATTATTTGGGCCACAATGCTACAAAACAGGGCCCTTCTGTGGCCAGAATTACATTCACAAAAGGAGCAAATAACAGCCCCAGGGTCAGCCAATCTTCTAGTGATACCAATGAAAGGTTTCTTTTGAATGCAAAAGGAGACAAGGTGCACTGTGCCCAAGAAGTGCAACATCCTCAAACTCGCTTTCAGCGGCAGTAAATACATCCTGATGCGTTAAAGCAAAGCATGCTCCAGCAGTGTCTCTACGCAGCCTCCCCTGAAACCTGCAGGATGTCACCGCTGACAACTGATGCTTTTCTACTGCCATCTCTGTTGAGATTATCAGTTTCACTCTTTTCTTTGTTTCATTTCAATATTCTCCTCCCAATAGGCTCTGATTCACCCCGGGCCTCTGGGACCACCTGAATCCTCCTTCAGAACCTGCTCGTCCCTCACAGCCTCACACATCAATTTCCAAGACCAAAACGGATTGTTACGATCCGAGCCGTTCTGTGACAGCCTGTGGGACCGACCTTCCTCTGCGCTGCCAGCGATCTGCCTCCAAATTAACACGGCAGCAGACGGAGCGATTCTAACACAACACATCTGGCAGCAAGCGTTTAGAAACAGTTCTATTCGTTTATGTAAAAGCGTACAACTTACCCGGAGGCAAATAAACCCACAGATCGAGGCTCTCTACTATTGTTCAATACCCCCCCCGCCTTGTTTTGGTGCATGAAACAAGAAAGTAAGGCTTCTCATTCAGCAGCCGTTTAGCGGACCTGTGGCTCCGTGCAGGCAATCAACCTTCCGTCTGCCGTCCCCGCTCAGCAGCCGCGTTCGGCCGCCAGCAGAGCGCCCGCACCGCGCCGCTCCGATCCTCGCAGCGGCCGAGCGAGGTTTTTTTAGGGAAAGCGTTTACGGCCCTTCATTGCAAACTGGGAACTGCTCCGAACCCGAGGCGTGTCGGCACCTCGACGGGTCCGCATCCCGCTCCGCGATGCGCGGATTTACAGCGGTGCCACCGACGGAGCGGCCGTACCGGAACCGGGCGGGAAAGCCCGAGCTGCAACCGGGATCCGACGAGCTCTGGGGTCTCGGAGGGGCTCCGGGACCCCCGAGAGGGGCTCCGCCCGGCCGAGCATCGCGGGGAGGCGGCTCCGGGACCCGCCGAGTGCCCCGCGGGGGTCGGGGAGGACCGAGCCGCGTGGAGGGGCGCTCCGCTCACCTCATCACCTTGGCCGAACTGCAGCCCCAGGGCGACGAAATGCTCCACCCGGATGAAGCCGTCCGCATCCTCGTCGCAAACGTCGAAAACCTCCTTGAGCTTCCGCAGGAACCGCAGTAGGCCGGCCGGCTCCATCGCGGCCGTTAGCTGGAGGCCGGCGGCGCGGCCGCAGCAGCCATCATCGCCTTCAGCGGGCGCGTGACATCAGCTCCGAGGAGCGGGGCGGGAGGGGACGGCGAGCGCGGGAGAAGAGAGGGAGGGAAGGAAGGAGGAGAGCCGGGGAGGAACGAGAGCTCCGGGCGGAGGGAGGGAGGGAAGGGAGAACAATAGGGCAGAGCTCGGTGATGGAGAGGGAGGGGCGGCGAGGGGAGGACGGCCGCCAGGGGGCGCTGTGGGACGAGCGGCGGGGCGGCAGGTGCGCGCCGGGCGCGAGCGGCGGCTGAGGGAGCGCGCGCCGGGCGGGCGGAGCGGGACCGCGAGACGGCGGGAAGAAACGGCTCCAGGGAAACGGAGCATCGAAGGGCACGGGCTGCGGGCGTCGGCATTTCGTTACAGTCGCCACCCTCCATCAGTGCCACTTCCACTTTGTTTAGTAGCTCGGTGTCAGAGCGTTTAAGGATCGCACTCCCAGGGCTGGTGACACGGGCTGCAGCTCGGGTTGTGTTCCAGCACAGTAACAGCACGTCACCCCCTGCCGCATCCCGAGCCAAACCCTGCTTCCCATCAGCAGCTGTAGCTCTGATTAGCAAGGTAACAGCTGCACTCTGGTCTTTAATTATTCCTTTTTTAATTTTATCACTTCTCACCAGTTACATCCTCTACTAAAATGCCATAAACAACAGGCAGCAAAACCAAGCTTATTTCTATTGCTATCCTGCCTGAAACCTCATCACCGTTAATCAGGAGGTAAGGAAGTTTTCTCCCTCTTTAGCTGCCGCTTGCAGCAGTGCCGTCATGGCAGGATGTGCCTAAAACACAACACGCTCCATTCAGCTCCCGCAGTTTCACGCCGAGCCCCCGCTGAGCGCCCAGCGCCGCTCCCAGCCGTGCCGCGCGGACCGGCGCCCCGCGGTACCCGGAGGTCCGCTCGCGCCCCCCAGCGGTCAGACCCTGCAGTTACGGCGGTTGGTTCCACAAAGCGCACCGATCCACCAAGAGGCACCACGCTGCCTTCTTCCAGGGAGGGGACAGACCTGCTAACTTCTCACTGCAGGCAGTAGGGAGAGCTTCTGTTTGCCTCCGATTGTAACACGCAGCAGCCTCCTGAAAGCCTTAAGGGTGCTCGAAAGCACCTGAACTTCTGCACAGACCCTGCGTTCGTTAAAACAAAGGCTGCTATTTTGCAAGTCACCTCGCAGCTGTAATGCCTGCAGCCCATGTATTTCCCTAAGCAGACTCACCCACAGCACAGGCAGCGTATGAACTGCTCACTCAGTTGACTCTTACAGCTCTAAACAAAGCTTTCTGAAGTTCTGCTTTCCTGCCCCATCCTAGACAGGACTGTACAGCTCTAAAAGCACGTTCCATCTGTGACTTTATTATAGCTGAACAAGTGCAATTCCCATTCACTGCTGCATTTAGCAACAAGATCTGGGTCAGAATAATAAAATTAGAACACGCTATAGCACAGTGCTGCTAAAGCCAAACAACCATTACTCGCATCTCAAAACAGATTGCAGGAGCTGAGTCCAACCCAGCTGACAAATAAGAGATAAAGCACAGAACGAGAATATTTCTGTGAGACAATGCAGGCACAGCACTGTTACTGCTATGGCCATCACTGGACCAAATTGCCTGTTGGATTAATGGTGTGAGCAGTCTGACCGTGCCAATGAGAGCCTGCAGGCAGCTTGCCTGTAGAGAAACAGCCCTAAAAAAGACATTTTTAGGAACAGCAAAACAATTAGAAAAGCAGAAAAGCCGCTAGAAGCAGCCTGGTTGAGCTAATTGCCTTCGAAAAATGATTGAAGCAGGCATTATCAGATCTACAGGCTGAAGATGCAATTATTCCAGCTGTTTGTTACACTTGGATGATTCACAGCATTTAAGAAACCAACACAGCCCTATTTATCCTTGTTGCTACCTAGGAATCTTGGTATTGATACTGACAATAAAAACTGGGGAAGAGAACAGAGATAAACTCATAGATCTGAAGTAGTTTCAGCTAAAGTATAATTTCTGCCTCCTTGCCTTACAGTTACTTTCAGTGGGCTGGGGAGAGATGGGAGGAGTCCTAGCATGCTTTGCAGCAAGGCCTGAAGACTATTTCAACCCAAAGCTGGAAATTCTGAGGTCCCTTACAGGCCTCTTAATGTTCCCATCTGGTTTAGAGCACTGGCACATCAACGTTGTCAATGCTCTAATAATGCCAGTACTGAACTACCTCACCTGATTATCAGACTATTGAAAATTAACAGCCAACACAAGGAATTTTTAAGGGCAATTTGCTTTTCTTGGAAGCATTTTAAGCGGGCAGTCTGTGAAGTGGGGTGGATTGACAAGCACAGCATTAAACCATTCATCCAGCATATCTCCACATCTGCAGATATATCCAACACAGTTTGCTCCTACCTCAATCATCAGCCACAGTAAGAAATAAAGAACATCTCCCCACGCCAAACAGCAACCAGGATGGCAGAGATAAGCTGCTCTTCTCACTACAAAATCTACTGTATAGCAACTACAAAAACAAACCAAAGCCCCACAAAAAGCAGTGTTCAAAGAAACCTCACGAGGGTGAGCCACACTACTCAAATTATTGCAATTCCTTTGCCACTGCCTGCCAGTCAAATAAATTGTTATTTCTTTCCTGAACGTCTTCTGGAAAACATGAGCAAACCCCAGAGCTCCAAAGTGACACACACAAATTGTGCTGCCATACAGCAGAATGTTTACAGGGTAACAGGCATAACGTGACAGTGAAGAAGTGCTCCAAGATCCCCATCTCAGTACACAGATGTTCTTTTGCTGCAGCTTTGAATCATGAGATAAGCAGATGTTGCAACATTTCAAAATGTTCATCTTCTCAGAGAGACAGCTCAGCACATATCTGCATGTTCACCCCCTTCAGCCTCACACTTTAGACATGAAGCCAATGAGCATTACGTACCAAATTCCCTTTAGGAGAAGCTCATGTGATTCGCTCTTCCTCCAGCAAAGCTCTCATGCCAGATCATTACAGATATTGCCCCTGCACAGCCATGGTCATAAGTGAGACATCTCTTGCCTCCCACATTCATTTGTTCATAACAGTCTCAGACTCTTGCACAGAAGAGCTCTAAAAGCCAGACCAAAGGTGCATCTTCCCAGTATTCTGTGTGCTAGCAATCATAGGGCACCAGAGCACACAGGTTAAGGCACAGCGTGTGCTGTGACACCAGTTACAGAGCCTTTGGCAAAGTAGATGGAACTAAACTTCCCTTATATTAAAGGACTTCTGCTTATTTGTTGTTTGCACTTAAATGGCCACATTTAAGAGCCTGTCTCCAGCAGCCAACATGCTTAGGTTTGGCATAGCCCCTAAAACCAACAAGTCACCAGTCTTCTTGAAGCCATCTCCCACCCCCCCCCCCCCCCCCATCTCTTTGACAAAAGTGGAAAAACCTAAAGAAACTAAAAGTTGGGGCAAGAAACAGGTATTCATGGCACTCAGAGAGCTGAAGCTGGAGGCAGTATGAATGAATGTCCTATTAGAAAAAACATAGCAGTAAATGCTGCAATAACATTTTCTCAGTTCTTTCCTTCTACCAAGCCCTGCAGTGCTGGCTGTTTAGGCATACCACCAAGTATTGTGCATAGCAGGATTCAGGACTACAGACCAACACAAACATGCTTGCTTGGAGTTATTTTGAAGTATTCCACAAATGCTGATGTGTAGGTTTACACACCTCTAGAGCTATCCTCTTATGTTCACCAATTCGAATTGCCAATTCGATGCTGCTTAGCAATTTCAGGTGGCTCTTCATGCTCTTATGGAAGATATCCTGAGGAAGGGAGGGAGAGGCTGCAGACCCAGCACGTTCTTACCGTGCACACAGCCATGAAAACTTCACTCTCAAGTATGACTGCATCTGTTCCCACTTGCAGAGGCTTTACACTGAAAAGCCAAAACAGAAGAGATTTTCAAGTAGTGAAGTCAGTACAATGCTCAAGAGATAAATTACATTGAACCTCTTGTATTTATTAAGATACGTGTTTGAAAAGTCTGGATTTGCACTGCTGAAGTTCTCATGAACACAGTTCAGGCACAGAACAAGAAGGAAAGCAATTAGTAGGTGCCAATACTCCATCTGCTGGGAGACTGCATGTGTGTTTACATATCATTATGCCTCAGTCTTTGCTAAGCCAATGATATCAGACATCTTATGATAGTTTCAGTTGCAGGAAGAATTGGCTGGTTGCTATTCGTTTGGTATTCTGACAGCTGGAACAAGCTGTTATGCTTCCTACCAGACAGTGATAAAAAATGGTCACCTTACACTCCACAGCAGAAGTCAAATGATGTCTGATCAAGTCTTCTTTTGACAGTATTCCATATGAAATGTTGCTTCCAAAAACAGGAAGTCTCTACAGGACTTAAGAGATCTAGAAAAAGTAATATAAATATTGGCTTTTTGTAAACACTTGTTTTAGATACTCCTATTGACTTCCAGTATTATGCTAATATTGTTTCAATAACATTCTGCTTTCCACTCTCCAGCCTATGCTCAGAAGCTTGTAGGAGGCTTTATTTCATTAGGATTCTCTTCTGCACAAGAGGGTATTAGCAGGGCTCCTCCTTCGGCATAAAGGAAAGCAGGAATTGCTGCTGGATGTGCTTCAGGTGTTAAGGCTAAAGACAAAATTCATTAAAAAGTGAATGAAAATGAAGAAACAGGCAGATGAAAGAGATCAAGTCCTCCCCTGGAGGGGAGGCTGTGAGAAAGCCTGAGGAACTGTGCATCCTAATTCACATATCTCATCTCACTGAGATGGACTGTAGACTCTCTTGTGCAGGTCTTCTATCCTGGCATCTTCAAATCTGCAGCTTCTAATCCAGCCAGGTAACTCAAGGACGAAGGCCCAAGGACAAAGAAAGGAAATACTTCAAAACCTCATAAAGCAGGTTTGCTCTTAGAGGGGAACAAGCAGCCAATCTATCAGGACAAAAGTCCATTTTAGTTTTGATGTTCAAACAAACAAGATGGGGAGGACAGCTTTTTTACAAAAGCACAAAATCCTCCCAAGACAAAGGCAGAGGCTTACAGCTTACAGTTGTTTATGACACGGGAATTATCTTGGAAAAGTCATTAAGTATTAAGCAAATCACATCTTAGAAATTCAAAAGCAAGAGCTTATTCAAGGAGAAATATGCCTTTTCATAAACACTTTCAAGCAACATCAGGACGATCAGAGAGGCTGTGTCCAAATAGCAGTTGTTCCTCCTGCAGCTTCTTTGTTCTCAAACTCGCATTCCACAAGAACACTGGCACTCAGCAGGAGGCCATACCAGCTGGCCTCCCTTTCCCTAGTGCTTCTGCTGGGTCACCATCCTGACCATTTTCAGGGCCATCTCTCCTTGATCAGATGGTACCTAGCATGGAGATGAAGCACACAGTAAGCAGCTGCTGTAGAGAAGACAACAGCAAGAACATACACATGCTCAAGTTTTCTTGTTGGTAATGATGCACCCTACCTACTCCAATAGCTATATTATTTACCATGTGCCCAGCCTTAAGAATCCAGAAGAAAGCAAAGTTCTCATGGGCCTTGTGGAAAGCAGCTGTATCCGTGGATTCTGGGGACACATAAAGCGCCTTCCACCTCTGCTGGCTGAACGCCTTCAAGCCGGGCCATTTCAGTTTTCGGATCCATGCCTCCTGGCCTGTTAGGAAGAATTTAGATTCCTGCATGCTCAGATTCAGTGTTGCTGTGCCTAGAAAAGCTACTAAGGATGCAAATAGTTTTGTACAAATAGAAATAAACCAATGGAGAGAGAAGAACTGTCTCTCTCACAAGGGTGTTACTAAAACATTAAGAGCTGCTCATTTGTAACTGTCTTGCCTGCTACAAAGGAGATCTGCAGAAGAGAGATCTAGCTACCAATGTTATTGGTGACTGCACATTCTACTCATTACCTGTTCTGCTCCCAGCCCAAGTCAAAAAGCCTCTTACCCATGGTGTCAACAATGAGATCCAGCTGCCCATTATAGACTGTGACGCTGACATTGGCTGCTAGGAGCTGATCAACAATGTCGATGACAGGCCTCATGAAGTCCTCAGCCATGTTCTCAAAGACTTTTGTGGACTGACCTGATGGAACCAGAAAGGAGACAGAGTTTAACTGCTGAAAGATGTCACTCCCAAGCTGGGACAGAAGCAGCTGGACAGGGGTCTCAACATACAGCTCATGGCTGTGTAAGAGCAAGGCTTCACACGAAGCATCAGGCAGCCAGTTAGAGGAACTAAGAGAACCTGAAAGCAGCCACACTCACACCAGAGCTCACACAGCACTGCTGCTTCTGGCTCTTATTACACACAGAGTGCTGCCACCAGTCCTTCTAAACCCTCCTGTCTGCTTTATACCCTCCCCTTCACACCATCCTGCACAACGCCAGCACTCTGGCAGAGAAAGACTGAAATTCTCTCAGTAAGACTGCAAGGACATAAATCAGTTGAGGATCTTCTTTGGTCCCTGTACTTTTAGCTGCTTGGCTAATGACAGATAAAAGCAGTAGAACCAGAACTGTCTACCACTGGCCTGCTGTTACATTTTCATCTGTGACAGTAAGTCCTCTTTTTAGGATGGAGGACAATGAAAATTTAATGTGACTGCTTACTACAATAAAATATCTCCCTTCAGACTGCAATATAGAGGAAGGCCATAATACACTCATTAGATCCACACTAGCAGACAGGAAAGTACCTCCCCATTTTACACAGTCAGGAATAACTTTTAGTTTCTTTCTGATAGGTCCATTCATCAATTCACTTAGATTGTTCTTATGCATGACTTCCACGTGACGCTGGTAAAGCCTAACTGAAAGAGACAAAACATTTGGATTAGTTGCACATTTAAGACAGTCATCCTGTATAAATAACAATTTTCAGTGCTCCAGTCACAGCTAAATTCTTCTAGTGAAAATGCACCACCACAGAGAACAGTTTGTAGACTTATAGTAAAAGTCCCTGATGCCAATCTTCATATAAGTCAAGAGGTAATATGGGAAGAGCCCAAATATCCATTTTCACTTCTGGCTCTCACAGCACTTCTCCAGGAGAAGCTTCTGTTTCAGCCACTTGGCACAGATACATCTCAAAACAATTGTTTTTGTGCTGTGATGTTTTACTTCTGGGAATCAGTTGTGCTATTTCCTCCCCTCACTGAAGGCAAGAAAGAGATGAAGTGCTTGAAAAAAGCCAAGTATTTTTTTACATGCATTAGCACCATGTAACTAGACTCAGACTGTTTATATAGATGGGACATTTTTGTATCCTAGCTTGAAGACAAGCAAAAGAAATAAAGATGCAACTTAGTGTCATAAAACTATGTCACAATGACCTAACTACTTCCTTGGAGTAATTGTGCAGAATGTATAGGTGGAGGTGTAATCTATAGAAGGGTTGCTCCACATTCCTGTTAATCCCTATTTACGCAACAGCAATCAAGTTCTTGTCAAGAGACCATCAATATCCTCTGGATCCAAAGGTCCACTTTAAGGATGGGCTGACCCAAGGCTGTTCCTATGGTCTGAGCTGATAGTATGGAATGCAAACAGAGCCTCAGAAGTTCAACTACTCAAATATGACTTACCAAGATGAAAATTTTCTTGTTCATTTGCTTTCATTTCTGGAACTTCCTTAGTCATGATGTTATAAAAGTTCACATTGTCTGTGTTCTGAAAAGATAAGATGTTCAGCACTGCTCCTCACAGCAGAAGGTTTTTGTAAACAGATTCCCTTCCAAAATGGAGAGGTTAGGAAGTCCTAAACTTTTCTACAGATCAGGAAGGTATTCATAGAGAAACAGTTCTACAGTCCATAAAGAGCTTTCTCCAGACTACGTGGTTTGTGCTCTTCTCTGAAAAGGGTGTGAAACTACAGGAAGCTGCAAGTGTGACTGCAGATTGTTATTACTCATGACAGAGACAGCTGCAACACCAGATGATGCTTTCAAATGCAGTTCTGCTGGATCCAGTCTAGCCCAGTGCTGCCTCTTGCTCAACATCCACCTAACCTACAACCCCTGAACAACCCAAATGCCTCCTCTAAAACATGGGACAGACAGCCATCACCCTCACCCCTCTTCTGGAATTGATGACATCTAGAAAAGTCTAAGAATCATTGAATGACAGCTCCAATGCAGACAGCATGCTGCATCCATAGGACAAGTGCAGTTAATGTTGCCAGCAGAGAAGTTACTCAAGTTTTGCAGAGCTGCTCTCCTTTAACTGTTGAATCATAGAAGATGAGAGGCACTGGTAGTGAATCAGCACACAGGAGTCACACTACAGGAAGAAGTACCTGCACCTTATGTTGATATCTCAGCTGGAATGGAAAAACAAGCAGGCTTGAGGAGAAAGACAAAATGGGAACCACAAGTTCCTGCCAAAGAGCAAGAAGTGACACCAACTATGTGAAGGTTACCAGAGAGAAAAAGCAGCTCTAGATGAGTCTTTCAGTTTGAGGAAGCCAGAGTTTTTCTTGTACTAAACCACAATAAGGCTCACATGGGCTGCCCTTCCCACTGCCTCTTGCAATCACAGTGGTGCACAGCAAACAGCTCTTTTACATCAACACATCATAAAGCACAAACAGCTGAAAATGGCTGGGCAGGATGTTGGAGGGATGCACACGAGCCCAGGGCTCACTGAAAGAAAAACCTGAAGCTATGTGCTCCCCTAAACACTGACTTCTTGTTAATGCTGCTCAAAGATCTCACCTCTTCAATGATACCTTCAGCCTTACTCCAGAGCTCAGTGGCCAGTCCATACTCATTTTTATTTATTGCATCCATTATTTCTTTAGCAACAGCAGTCACCTCTGCTAGACCATGATCATCAAGGAGAGACTGGAAGACAAACACATGAGGACAGCTTTATTGATAGTTTCACATTCATTTCTCAGGAACAGGCTTCAGATATCAGAAATTTCATACCAAGAGTTAATTAAAAAAAAAAAAAAAAAAATCAACCTCCATTTATTCTACATAGCAGTACAAGTTCTCAGGAGAAGGCCAAGAGTTTAAGGTACTCACAGTGCTATAAAGGTAGGGTCCCCAAGACAGCACAGAATCTAAAAACAATAAAATCAAAAACAACAGATTACAAACATTAAAAGGAAAAAAAAACCTTTACTTTTCATTTTCTGTAGCAAAAATGGTTGTGACAAAAGAAGTACAAGAATTGTTCAGTAAAAAGGTACAGCCAGCTTGTTTTGCCAGAAGCTTGCACAGCACAAAGTTCTTCACTAATCCTGAGAACCCCTAGAATTACTTCAGTGCCACAAGCCTCCTAAGCATCAGTCACTGAAATTTATTTAAAAAACAAAGAAACACACGCTCTTGCTGAAGTTCTCACCCCAGAACTGTAACACGTCAATACGTTACAGGGAGAGAACCCTCCCAGGCACAGCCTGAACTGATCTATTAGCAAATATTACTGAGGGGGGAAAAAAAAACAAACTAGTTTTTCATCCTTCACCAGACACACACCCTGCCTTTCTCAGGTCAGCAAGGACATCAGGTCCCCAGCACAAGGTCTTCTTGTGAAAATAGTGAGAAAGCCTCAGTTGCAAACTTGTGAACCATTTGGTGGCATCACTTTAAATGCAAATCACCAGAGTGGCTGTAGAAATTTACACAGACTTTTCACTACACTCCACTTCAAATGCAGCTGTGCTCCTCACTGACTTGGCTCTCAGGTTGCTCAAGATTCAGATACGTTCCAAAGGCAGACACTTCCATTCACTCCTTGATATATTGAAGTATTTTTAGTGACTTGATATACCAGACTCTCTAGAGATGGCATTTACTTAAGGCAAGGCTGGCATTTTTGACTGCAGGTATCCATTAAATAATCCAAAAAATAAAAAGTAAAATCAATGACAGTCTGAGAATTTTCAACATACCCAGGGGAGAAATCCATGAGTCCCCAAGAGCGACTCCAGCAAAATTGCACTTTATGCTTCCTTCTTGTACAGCCTTGGTGATAAGAGGAAGAACAAAAACAAGCCTGCTTTTAGTTGGGACCTTAGAACCAGTTTTCTTCACACAGAAAAAACCCAAACGACACAAAACCAATCAGTTACTGGTCTGACTCAGGCAGCAGAAACAGCATGATCTAGGAAACACAAGTACTTGTAGAACATCACCTTCTAACATGAACTACATCCTCAAATTACTTACCTTATGCAGCTCTAAAGCAATGCCAGCAGCCATTTTACCTCCGTAAGACTCAGAAAATATGTAGAATGGGACGTTCTGGTGAGAGAAGCCACACAATGAACCTGTTAGATGGAGGACAGACCCCCAGCCATCTCCCACATCCCACAGCACCCAGGGGTAGGCTCCCCACCTTTCATTTCCAAACCCTGGGGATTTTTGAGTCTCAGATGCCATAACAGCCTGGTGTAATTACTAAGGCAAGTTCTGAAGTGGGCCCCTCAGTATTTTGGAACTAGGAACAGCCAAGAGCCTATGTGCTTCTCAGATCACAACAGACAATAACACAGCTTCTGATTATCTCACTGGTGCCAAGACCAGCAATCCATGATATCACATCTGAACTGCAGAAAATATGAGACAGTGGGGTTATACCTGCAGTGCCTCCCCTGCACGCTACCTGCCTCACCTAGAAGGCTGCTCACCAATTCCTTTTGAGATCTGTTCAATTGCAAAGAAAAACAGGATTGTAACCCGTAGTTCAAATCACCTACCTGAAATTCTGTTCTGTGTGTGAAGAATTCATTAAGAAAAACCATCATATCGGAGACTACTGTGGTTAGGTTTTTGGCAAACAAGCTACAGTCATCTACATAGCTGAATCCAGTGCCCACAGGATTGTCCACAAACAAGATACTGGCTGCCTGCAACTGCAAAAGCAGAAAGGTTTCAGTACTAGCAGAGCACCAGTACAAACTTCAGTTTTGATGGCACAAAGATCTAACAGCCACTGCATCCCCAAACCTGAAAGAAACTGGAGAAAAACTGGGTACAAGTCCAACACAGAGAATGGTACAGGTGGGCCTTCTGTCTGTCAGAACGCAGCAAAAGCTATCAGCTGGAGCTAAGCTGTAGAGTTACAAACTCACAAATAAAATCAAGGGATCCACACAGAGGTAGCTAGGATGGATCAAAGCAATGAGGTTTATTTAAAAAAAATAAAATAATAATGATACAACATCTTTCAATTTGCCCAGCGTGCAACAGGAAAGGCACCCAGAACTCCTAACCATCCAAGGGCAGCTCACTCACATGAACCAGGGACCTCCCAGATAGTTAAGACTCTTAGCTGCTCACAGCTCAGTGAATAAACCTCTACTTCCAGAGGCAGCTGTAATTACAGCTGGTTTCCCTTGAAGTCATAAGAGGGTTGTAATTACCAGCCACTGTTTATATGTTGCCAGCCACCTAGAAAAGCCCTCAAGACTATAAGCAACAAAGCTATGATCAGAAGTAACATTTTCCTAGAAATTCCCCACTCACTCCATTTGCCCCCCAGCACACATTCATGGAGGCCTATGTATTCCAACAAAACAAATTAACAGGCCTACTCTTCAGTTCTTAAGAAGGCTATTAATATAAGCCATTGTTATTAGTCTGACTATTTTAAGATAAAGCACCACAGTTCTGTTGAATTTTAAATGAAACCTGTTCTGTGTGCATTTTAACCTAGCAAGCACCTGCTTACACAGGCAATAAGTTTTGCAATCAATAATTAGAAGTTGAACTCTGTTATACCCAGGTTGTATTTCTTGGTTTCAGTTCCTTGTCTAATGGACCAATCTCTTCAAAGTTCCCAAATCCACAGCCTGAAGATCCCGGACCTCCCTAAGGGGAAAGAGCAAATAACTGAGTTAGAAGGCAGCACACCATAGATGTGGGAGACAGGAGCAGAATAAAACAACCCAGTAAGCACAACATCACACAGGAAGTTCAAAGTGCCCTTTGCACTCCTCAGCAACTTGCAAAGAGGGCTCTGTTCCTCACTGTCTTCCACTACACACACACTGCTTCTGATCAGAGAAGTAACCGCCCACATGTGAAAGCATCCAATGAGCTGCATGCTGGATGCTGTTTGAGAACTTTTACCCTTATTTCCTTAATCCCAAGTACAAAAATCAGCCAAAATACAGAAGTTTGAGTCATAAGGTGTTTGCTCTTTTTAAGCAGCACATACAGCACACACGTTTTACTCTGCAATAACACAAAGAGGTAAGGTCCAAGTCACCAAGTGGCCACATCCAATGTTCTTTTCTGAAACGTTGTTCTGGAGGTGAATGAAGAGCACACACTGACGATCGCTATTAGTTGTGACTGAACGAGGCCAATCACGGTGACAATCAGCCTCTCCCGGTAGATTACAGAAGCTCCCTTACAGAACTCACCTCGGATCTCCGACCGCTTTTCCCCCTCCCACAGCACTGCTCGGGCTGCAGGCACCGCGGAGCCTCCAAGCCGCGATACAGCACGGCACAGAGCACCGCTGCGGCACCACAGCTCTCGGCAGCGTCTGCTTCTGCGATTTGACCGGGACAGGTTATCGAGAGCCGCGACGTGCCTTCAGCCACCAGCATTCCTACCCACTAACCCGAGCGTTCTCTGAAGGGCTGGAACGGGACGGCCGGCAGCGCAGCACCGCGCTGTGCTCACCTGCAGCCAGAGGATGAGCGGCAGCTCGGCGAATCCCGCGGTGCGGCTGTCGGCGTAGTACAGCCACCAGAAGATGTGCGCCTTGCTGCGCACCTGCACGTACCCCCACAGCTCCCGGGGGGGCTGCAGAGCCGCACCTGCGGGCAGAGCGGCCGTCAGTGGGGGGAGCAACGGGCGGCCCACCGAACTCGCCCCGGGACATCGCATTTCAGCCTTGGGTGTGATACACAGAAGTACCCCGCAACGCCGCGCTCAGGCCGCGGGGATCGCCCCGCTCAGCCACGGCCCTCCCAACGGGGCACAAGAAACGCCGCGCACGCGGACTCCAGAGGCTGCCCGGGACGCGGCCCCGAACCGAACCGACCCGACCCAGCGACCCTCTCCCCGCCCGTACCTGCTGCCAGCGCCGCGAACAGCGCCAGCCCCACAGCAGCACGCAGCGCGACCATCCCGGCCGCGGCTCTCCTGCAGCTCCGGGTCCGCCTTTCCCGCCCGCCCTTTTTGTCCCAGACGGCGCGCCGTCCCCCCGCCCCTCCCCGCCCCTCTCCGCCCTTTCCCCTGCCCCCAAGATGGCGGCTACCGGCGGCGCTCCGGTGCGGCTGCGGCTGCAGTTCGATTTCCCGCCGCCGGGCAGCCCGGGCTGCGCGCTGTGCTGGTTGCTGCTGGAGCCCGGCCAGGCGCGCCTGGTCACCGACCTGCTCAGCATCATCCGCCACCGCTTCGGCTTCAGCCGCCGGGCCCGCCTCAGCCTCTTCTTGGACGGAGCGCTGCTGCCGCCCACCGAGAGCGCCCGCCTCGTGCGGGACAACGACGCGCTGCGGTACGGCGGTACGGGCGGGATGGGGGGGGGGGGGGGGAAGGAGAGGAAGGGAGGGAAGGAGGGAGGGAGATGGGGGCGATGCTGAGCGCCGTTTGTTTGGGTTTGTGCAGAGTTACGCTGGAGGAAATCGCAGCAGAGGGGTGCGAAGAGGCGGACGATGACTTCTGCGCACCGAAAGATGATAGAAAAAGGCACAAACGAAGGCAGAAGGCGCAAGGGATGTCCAGAAGCGGAGAAGAAAAACATCAAAAGGAAAAGAAAAAGAGTAAACGTAACCCGGAGTGTTCCTCTGGTAGGGAGGACACCACTGGAGATGTTTCTGACACTCGGAAAAAATCCAAAAAGAGAAAGAGAAGGGAAGAAAACAGTGGGATGGTTCCCAGATCTTCTGAAGGGAAGAAGGGCAGTGCTGACAGACCCCCAAAGCTCCAGAAGGCACAGAGGGAGGAGCGGCCGGCAGCCAGAGAGAAGGATGGGCAGCGGGCAGCAAAGGCGGCCCATGGGCGGGCAGATGGCAGTGCTACTCTGATGGCTGCTAAGAGCACCTCCAAAAATCTGATACCAGAGGTCCGGAAGCAGAGGGTGGGAACATCGGAGTCCTCCAGCGCATCGTCCGACAGTGACAGCAGTGAATCAAATGTAAAGCACAGTAAATCTTCCTACAGACCTGCAGCAACAGCGCTTCCCAGAGACAAAGCACAAACTGCAATGACTGCTGTTGCTCGTAATCAAATGTCTAATGCTGAACATTGCAGTAAGACTGCAGTTAGTAAAAACGCTAAGAAATCGCAGTCCTCCAGTTCAGATTCTGACTCAAGCTCCGAGGATGAAAGAGCAGCAGCACAAGGCAGTACTGCAAAGCAGGCGCTGCCCAACAGTGCAGCAGCAGCACAGACTGGGCCCACTGGTGCTCCCAAAGCCAGGAGCTCCTCCTCCGAGTCGGACAGTTCCAATTCGGAAACACTCATCATTAAAAAACCTGCAGCCAATGCTGGACTGAGTAATTCCATAGCAACAAATGGTTCCAAACAGTCACCAGCGGGAATCCAAGGGCCGGCTGCTGGGCCGGGGCGTGGGAGAGGGCGTGCAGCAGGAGAGGGGAACTTCTGGAGAGGACCGAGGGGCCGGGGGTTCCGGGGGATGGTGAGGGGCCGGGGCAGAGGAGAAAGCCCTGGCTTCTTCTATAGTTACAGCAGTGAAGGCCAGAAACAGAGGCAGTTACACGAAGCTGTGACAAACACTTCTGTTCCTGTCCAGGTGAGTGACTTACACAGTCAATGACCAGCTCTCTCACAGCTTTAACTGTACAAATAAAGTACAGCATGAAAGTAATTCAGAAAAGCTGAAAAATGTAAGTAGGGTAAAGGCTGGTAGATCTGAACAGTAAATCTGATGTTTGCAGTATATATCCTGCAGAAGCATTTATGAAACAATACTTAAGTGATTGTACTGGTGGAATAATTGCTATGGGCTACTTGGAAATGAAGGCACAGCATTGTTCACATGGGTGCAGAGCAGAGTGCAGCTGATGTGCCAGCAGATGGCACTGTGGGTGGAGCAGAGACTACAGCCAGGTCCTGTTCCACAGCAGCTCCCTGGGCAACATCTGGAGAACTGATGTTACTGACTTTAATTGCAATGCTGGCATGGGAACTTGGTGGTACTAAGCTGTAGATGTGCTACCCTGGGCTGCCAGTCTGTCATTCTTAGACAAAATGCCGTCCTTCAGGTGAACTTTGCTCATTATGCACTCGTTATAATACCAAAGCACAGCCCCACCCCAAGGCACGACCTCCCCTCACTGAGCACTGCTCTGAATTCTTTAGCCTATACCTTTAAAAACTCTTCCCCCCCAGGTGAGATTCACACACTTGGTTACACTGAGTGCTTCCCTGGGAAACTCAGAAATCTCTGTGGAGTTGTTTATAACCTAGCACACGTGTGGCCAGGCTGTATTATTCTTAGTTCTTTGCAGACGGTGGATTTATCAGCAGCTGTTTGTTTTGCAGAATGCTGTGGATGTTCCCAAGAGAGACTACAGTGTTCTACCACTTCTAGCTGCCCCACCACAAGTGGGAGAAAGAATTGCCTTTAAGGTAAACATCTTTGGAAGTTCTGAACGTCAGTAGGTCAGTGTTGTTTCATTTGGGCACTGTAAGTTTTGCAGGGAACCATACGTAGTCCTGCCAACCAAAAGCCTGTATTTTAGAATTGGATCTGGGACTGTTGCCTTGAAAGTACAAGAATTAGGAATCCATGAATTATTTTAATCTCGCTTGCTTGTTCATTAGTCAAAAATCTGCTTTAAACTTCAGTGTGTGGTTCAGAATTTCCAACTGTCCAAATCTCTGTAGGCAGCTCTGAAGGCATTCACCCCTCTCCTGCTGTCTTTCTAACCTAACAGTTTTCCACAGAATAGAAAACACCACTGTTTGGTGTTAGCATCCCTATGTTCTTATTTCTCTCTGTAGTGTTTCTACAGCATTATTACAAAATTAGCCATACAAATAGCTACACTTCACTGCAAAATAAAATGACTTTTTTGAAAGAAGTAAAGAAAAATGAAATAATTGCTGCTGAGGAGACTGGATCCTCTCCATGATCTCCTTTCACAGCCTGACCTGAACCGGAGTCCTTCAGAGCAGTGAGTCCTGGCAGTGATAGGCACTGGGAGCTGGGTGCCTTGGTCCCTGTGCTTCCCATTGCTGAAGGAGCCGTGCCTGGGGAGAGGATCAGGAGAAGCTGTCACTGATTTGTGTTTCTTTCAACAGCGCTTGGAACTAAATGAGAACTACAGTCCTGAAGTTTCATCATATAAGGTATTATTTTTTCCCCCTCCTTAATTCACTGAAAAAACTATCATGTGGGGTAGAACTTCAATATTTTTAGGTTAATACTATCTCTCATGTCACTCTGCAGACTATTCCTGGTGCAGCAGTAAAATCAAAACTCTAAAACCTGAAACTAATTGAAAATGTGAAAGGTGTAGCAGTTACTTAAAAAAGAAAACAAAGAGTATTAGAGTATTAATGATATCACTGTTTTAGAGATGACAAACGCAGGCCTTCAAGGAGAAAACTGTAGCTGTATTTGAGTGCATTGCTCTTGAAAGTCAAGACAAATTCCTGGTTCTGCTGTAAGTAATTCAGCACCTACTTGAAATAACTTGGTTTCTAGAAAGGTCATGATTTAAACTACTGCCAGGTCAGTGACAGGATCATGAGTTTATCTATGCCAGAAACTGCAGAATGCTCAATTGTTATAGCTTGCAGATTTTGTATACATATATATAGAGATAGAAAAAAATTAACAAACACATACTTCCTGTAATTGTAATCCAGTATCACAGTGGTTGTAACATGGAATAGTTATCCAGTGCTGAAGTATATCCTATCTGATTCTTTTGTTGTTCCCTTGTGAAGGAGGGGAGAATAATCAGTTGGAATGCTGATAAAAAACAGATCGAGCTTGAGATCCTTTCCTCATCAGCAAGCCAAAGTACGTACCCTGGGACACTGAATGCTTGTTGCTTTGTGCATCACTGGGGAGCAGCCTGTGTGAGGCACTTGGGACCATATATAATCTCCTCAGCTTCTTTCTTAACCTCCTTCTGTCCCCATTCTTTCCTTAAAAAGTCTTCCACTGGGTGTGGAAGGAGCCCATGCAATGACCTGGCAGCGAGGCTGTGTGTGGCACCTGACCTTTATACTGGTGGGAATGAATCACCAGAGCATTTTCTCAAATTTAGGCAGCACATTTGGATGAATGTTCTCAGGCACACGGTTTTATTAGATAGCCACCTTACTTTTGGTGTGTAGAATTCAATTCTTGTCAGATTTTGTGAGAGTTCTAACCATTGCTGAGATGCTTGCAATTCAAAAGATGCTGAGAGAGCTCATCCCACACAGGCTGGTAAGGTGAGGTGCTGTTACAGTGCTGTGATAAAGGATAAGTACAGAGTGACACTCCTACAAATGCGGTGATCGCCTGAAGGAATGGAGCCTCAATTATTGGAACTGCTTGGAGTAATACTTTAAACAAAAAACCACATCCTACCAAACAAACAAAACAAAAAAAGCATGCATCCAACTGTGCCTCACTTTATAACTATGGTAAAAATGTAAACCTTTTGCTTTTTGTTTATAGTTAACTGTTGTTTTTTTGCTTTGTTTTAAAAAGTTGCTAAAGAGCCAGGGAAGTTTGATCTGGTTTATCAGTCTGCAGATGGGGCTGAGCTGATCGAGTACGCCGTTCCTCAGGACACAAAGGTACGTGCTGCCTTCTTCTGAAGGCGGCCCCGTGGTTTTGCTGGCACATTGCCCTGCTTTACAACACTGTTGTAATTCATTTCTGTCCTTTTATAATGGTGCATTTCATTAAAGTAAATGAAAGCAAAAAAAAATCCTTTCTAACAAGAATGTGAATTATCGTGAGATAACAAATTCTTGTGTATGATTTCAATTAATTAGATTTAGAAGGTCACCATTGTGTGTAACTTCTTGGCTCAGTTATCCATGAGGTTCTGCTTTTCCTGCCTGCACATCAGCAGGTCAAGGCTGATGAAGATCACTGAATTGGAGGAATGATCCGTGACCTTTGTTCTGTAGTGCTGCTGTTCACATCCACAGTGTGGTGCAGAAGAAATTGCACCTGTCTGTACTCCTTGTACGTGCTAACATT